GATCTCCGGTACATCCGGTCGAAGCTGCGGAGCAAGAGTGAGCACTCTCTCTCTCCTTAGCAACTCCTATCTCTTTTCATAACTTTTTTTTCGTTTGTTCTGCAAGACCAGTGCAGCATTGACGTCGAGTGATAGCATACTAACGATGCATGTTGTTACTTGCATGATGGTCAGATCGATACCGAACACCGAAGTTTTGCAAACAGCCTGGCGAAGTTCGCAGTTTGCAGTGGGGTTGCCTCACAGATAGGTCGCTCGCTGCTCTGCATAACTGCGAACAACTCTCATTTGATTGCTAATCTTAAAAAGATCACTATCGCTCCTGGGGATCAAATATAAAAGCTGCCTCGAATTCGCGAACCAGGGAGGTCGTCCACGACGTGGAGCGCTTTTTGAAAACGGTTTTTTGCATGATGTGGGGTCACGTGCATGAAGTACCAATGCCTCTGGGAAGAGCAAAAAAGGAGTGAAAATGATGCCTATGGAAATTGATTCTTTTGAGCCTCTGTGGGCTCTAAATCACTTGCAACTTTGACCAGTTGCTGAGTGGAGGGTCCTTATAAAGGTGCCATTGGAATAGAGGAGAAGTAGTCGCAAATGCGGTCTTACTTGTGGCACGTGATTAGGAGTAAAGGGCTCCTTGGAAGGTTTCTTCAACGATCGGAGCGATGTTCAGCTACAACGATTGGATGGCTGAGTGGCTAGCGTGGAGGAAATCCCGATTTCCACGTACCGTTGGGCAAGAACTTTTCTAAAAGTTGATCCTTATATGTTGTTCAGTGCCCCGATCACGACTATGGCACTCACTTTCAGCTGGAGTGCAATTTGTCGCCAATTTGAGCAAATTCTTTCTGCCACTGGACTCGTTATGTACACTCATTTGAGGGACTTTCGGAGTTATTCTGACCCCAAGTTGCGTCGACGCCAAAAATAAGTGTCAGACGCGTGATCAGGACCATCGATTACCCCTATAGGCAAATTTTTGGTTAAAAAAATGTTTTTGACTCTCATGAGTTTGAATATTGGATTATGCTCAGGAGTCATCCCGTTGTAGTCGTACTTTTCCTGGTTACCAAAACCCCCATTCAGTGGTTCAGAGAAGAGTACAAAGTGCTCTCCTCCGTTCAGTACTCTCTAGCCCCTCTCTAGCCCCTCGCTGCAAGCGTTGGGAAAACGCTGGAGAAACGCTGTGAAGCTAGATCTATAGCTATGCTTCCCGTGCCCTCGCTACGCCAGCGCGCGCTAGCGTGCAGCTGGGCACGCTAGCGTACGCCACTCTTGTGCTTGATAATGAAGAGACATAATATTTCTGGAGGAATGTAGCCATAGTGGACTATTCATGGAGAACATTTCCGGCTGTTGACTCGTCTACATATTATTGTTTCTTGAATACATTTATGACCTATAAACAGGTATGGTAGTCTACTACAAAATAATTGAATGATAAAGTTTCTCGCAGTGAGAGCAGCGGATGAAAAACAGGTCGTCACAACGTCACACAAGTCCGGAAAAAATGCACATTAGAGCGGAGTTGCAAACTTATGGATGCCCTTCAAATACCCCGCTGCGTTCCACGCGTAAGATAGAAGCCAAAAATGCTTTCCATGAAATCGTTCACTATGGCTACATTCCTTCAGAAACATTATGTCATGGCATTATCAAGCACAAGAATCATGTGAAAATGTTTTCTAGTGAGCAGAGACCACTGTCGAAAAAATGCAAAAGAGCATATACATCAAGGTTCCAAACCCTTGACCATGCATAAGCAAGCCCTACCACGTAACCACTCGGCCACGCTGCCACGTTTACGAGAGCCCCACGCCGCTGTATCGTACTGAGAGTGAGCATGCTCTCCCTGAAAAAGCTCCGTAACTTTTTTCTGGCAGTCCGCAGCAAATATGAAAGACGGTTTCATAATCCTGTCCGAAGACCTCTCCGTCGGTATACATCTCATTTCAAATGGTCATTTCGACCCACCATCCTTCCCTTGTGAGTTGTGTGTTTCACAGCGCACAGAGGCTAGAAAGGGAGCAGTTCACGGAAATTTTCGTTTTTACTCCTTTCTTTGTCTTTCCTGGAAGGCGCAGCGGAAAGAAGCTCACTTTTTAGGTCCTATGAGCCCTACAATATGCAAAAAACCGCTCTCAAAAAGCGCACCATGCCCTAGACTACCTCCCCAGTGCACTGGAAACCCTAGTTGAAAATGCTGGAAAAACTCTAGTTGTTTAGTATCCCACCAAGCGCTCTACTTAAGTTGTTGGAAAACTTGTACTTGTGTGGAAAAACCTTTTTTACTTCACTATTGGATTTTGCATATGTTAGGGAAGAGGGGGCTTTATACATCAAGCCCTGTGAATAAATCATGTTCTAAGCTAAACTAATGCTTGAAGTTTCATACTGAAAAAGTGATATAGTTTGAGAGCTGAATGTAGCGAGATTTCTCTACTACGAGCACAAAACTGGCGCCGTAACGATCAGTATTGGGAAACACAACTGTCTTTTGTCAATCATTTCTAGCACGATACAGAAAGTCAACGAATTGTTGAATTCAATATTCAACGACTGCCCTCTGGTTATAATTATAGCGAGAATTCGCACGATAAAAGTTGCTCAGGTATTTCGATGGGAACTATAGTAATTAACTATGGTAGACTGAAACTAGAATTCTGATTAGACTTTCTTGGTGGATCAGAAAACCAGCTTTCAGAGCTCGACAAGTTGAGTCCAATATTCAAATTTCTGCACAGGAAAAGACAACACGAAGTGATCTATAGCGAAAAAAATTCCTTTCGAACAATGTTTGTATTGGCCGAGACCAGACCAAAACCTGCCTTTAACACGTTGACGACCGCGCGGGTTTTTACTTTTTGGCCGCGTGGGACACGCGCGCTTGTTCGAACGCGAGAGGCGCGATTCGCATACGATTCACGCAGTCCCACGAGACGGCCTTTCTCACAGGTTGGATCAGAAAATCTGCTTTGGAGAGCAAATATAAAGCAATTCAATTCAATACTAGAAGATTCGCAAAGAGACAAAAACTCCGCTCAAGAAGACACATATTCAGGCTCATGGAAATGGCTATGAACTTTGATAGTGATTTTTCTCTGTCCAATGTTTCCACAAAAAACACAGGTCGTGCCTTCTATAAGAAAGTGATCCCTCATTACATTTTTCATCGTTAAATATTGTATTTGTTCATATTTGTGAGTAAATCATTAAAGAGCAAATCAATCAAAGCAGAGGGTATTCTATCCCAGAGAGTCTTTGCTAAATTAGTATCTAAACTATTTTATGAACCACGCGTTATGCGAGTAAATTGAACATTGAACTATAGTATGAATAAGGGAAACTGAACAAAAAACCGTGCGATAGTGAAAGACACAGGTTTGTTGATCGTGATTCGAATACAATTCGCGCGCCACGCGGCCTACAATGCGCGCATTGGATGCGAATCACGCGGTCGTCAATGTGTTGAGATCGATCTTTCAAAAGTATCACATCAATGGACGTTCCTGTTCTTGTATGAGGAAACCCAAAAATTGATACTTTGAAACTGGTACATTTAGGAAGCACTAAGTTGTTTTTCGGAAGCAAACTACTCAAACAATGACGTACTGTGTCGCAGATGTAAGGCAGCGTTCATACTTCGCGACAGCGGCGGCGATCGCCGCGACTGTTGGTACATGGCAGAGCGCGCCCCAACGCTATTATGGACCGCTCACTTGACAGATAAGGGAATGCAACTTGCGAGACCTCCTTTTCTCTTAATAATGGCTACTAACTGATAACTTACGACCTTCTATACATAAGCGGATCTGGAATATCAGGTAAGGAGGTTTCACTTCTTTTTAGGTCGGGATAAGGCCACTTCCATTTCCTGCGAGCTTCTTTTTGTTTCATTTGTTTTTATTGTTTCAGCTTATACAAGCGCCTCAAAAGTTCCTATCGTCCGAACTGTTCCAACTTCCAAAACATTCATAGTTTACAAGTCGAGTTCAAACAACGAAGGAAAAAAAGAAACAGAAAGAAACTCACCTAGGAACCAAAACACTGATCATTTTACGTAACATCAACAGGTGGAAACTCTATAACCTCATGTATAAGCTCGACGAATCAAAAAATAAACATTAAAACTCCCCCCTCTAAAGCTTTCGCTCATTTTTATCCTGCATCAAGAAAGAAAATAGAAAACAAAAGCCACTGATTTGGGTTCACCTTTCTTTGTGTCGAACCAAGCTCCAGTTTCGAAGGGAATTGTAGTTAAAGAAAAAAAAAGCATGAAATTGAGTTGGTTCTCCCTAAAAGCCTTCGGAGCGGTCCAAGTAATAGCTTTAGAGCGCGCTCTGCCAGGTACCGACGAGTACGGCGATCGCGGCGGTCGCCGAGGCACCCCGCGATCCGGCCATCCGCGCTAGCTTGCCGCGGCCTGCGTATCGCGTGCGACCGTGGTTCCACCCCTGTTGTCGAGGTCAGCGGTCGGTATTGACGGCAGTAGCAGTGGCTGCAGTCTCTGGCTCGGTGCGGTGGAGAAGGTCAGCAAGTAATGAAAATCTTGTGAGGTATACGGCGTGGAATTGCACATGATTGGGCACACTATTCTATTAGGTGCGCTGCAGAAGTGTGGCAAGAGACAGCGGGAGCAATAGTTAGCCACCAATTTCGATTGCCTTAGAAGAGATCCAGTTTGCGAACGTCTTGTCGGCATCTCAGGTGTTCTTTGAAGCATGTGCCTAGAAATCCGCCCATCTCACGGTTGTGATCTTCTCCGCAAGTGAGACATGGGGTCTGCCCTTTGTAGCTCATGATGTATCTTTATGCGTAGAAGACGCAGGCGACTCACAGCAGTATATGCGCGTTCTTACACTCTATTGCAAGTGAGCTGAAGCTCCAGATTGGATCTCCTAAGCATGTGACACTAAATAAAGTATTTGCCCAATCCTGCTCTGTATGTTCTGCAGTGCCCTGTAGATGCGCTCGCCATATCCGAAATGACAGGCCATTCAAACAATATGCGCCATATACTCGTAATTCTTCGTAGGAACCCTGCGAATCTTGCTCCCAAAAACTGAAAAATACGGCCCTTTGAAAAACTGCCCACAAAAAATGTGGGTGTAAAATTACCATCAAAGATTGTGCAGGCAGCGTGGAATGAGGCCGTGTATGCTCAGGGAAGCAGTTATGGAAAACACACGTTATGGAAGAAACGTACGCTCTCCGCCATTCCTAAATTCACAGTAGTGCGGCTCGTACCGCTGCTGGTGCTCTAAAGTAAAAAGGGTGTATGTATTCACCTGGATCAATGCAATGAAAACAACAGTCCAAGAAACAATTTTGAAGTGCGATGTAAGTTCATGAAATGACTCGGCGATTTTGTCATAGCAACCCTGAAGACATACCGTATTGAATTGGCAAAAAAAATCTCCGCAGGTTCATTTTTATGGACATAACTTGAGTTATCAAACAATAACAGCTTAAAACTTGTAAAAAGCCTCCAGCTTTGCGGTTCACATCGGCTAACCGTCCCATCACGTTGAACGTGTGATTGCTCGAAGGCAGTGGCACAAATAGCTATTGAGCTGAGAGGTCAAAAATGACCCCGGTAGCGTGATAGGGAACGCATCTGCCCGGTAAGCAGAAGATGCGGGTTCGTATCCCGTCCGAAGGCCGACTTTTGCCCACAACTCAGCATTCTTATGATAACTTTCGGATCGCGCAATGGGCGTTAAACAGCAGCAGCAAACCAAATAATAACAGCTTATAACTTTTCCATTTGGTGAGGTAGAGGTGGTGTAGTGGCAACTAGCCCACTATCTTACGAGCGTGCGGTCTGTGGGCCAAACCCCGGATTGACTTCCGCCCGGGCCAGTCAAACCTTCTAGTCCGCCGAGACAGGCAAATGGTATTAGCTTCTTCTGGGAGTTTAAAAAAACTGACTAGCACATCGGCTCGCTCCCGCAAGCCATTGCATATGCCGTAGCGTGTTCAGGATGCCAATCCTGAAAGGAAGTAGGATGCGCCCTGCATCCCAGTTCGTTGAAAAATGGAACATCAAAAAGAACATTTTCGTGATATTTTACTTTTTTATTTCCGCAAAATTAAAAACGTATCGCAAGCTCACAAAATGTTATGTGCTGCTTATGGTGACGAAGCCTTAAAAGAACGGCAGTGTCAAAATTGGTTTGCCAAATTTCGTTCTAGTGATTTTTCACTCAAAGTTTAAGAACGCTCTGGTCGTCCAGTTGAAGTTAATGACGACCTTAACAAAGCAACAATCGATTTGGACCGTCACAGTGCAATACGTGAGATGCAGAGAAACTCTATGTATCACATACATGCATTGAAAACCACTTAAAACAGCTTGGCTATGTTCAAAAAATTGATACATGGCTTTCTCATGAACTGAAAGAAACGCATTTAAGGCAACGCAACAACTGCGACTTGCTTAAGAAACGTAACGAAAATGATCCGTTTTTGAAACGACTGATAACTGGTTATGAAAATTGGGTTGTTTACAATAATATCAAGCGGAAAAGATCGTGGAGCAAGCCAGGTGAACCACAAACAACATCAAAAGCTGATCTTCATCAAAAGAAAGTTTTGTTATCAGTTTGATGGGATTGCAAAGGAATTGTCTACTTTGAACCCTTACCACCCAACCGAACGATCAAATCTGATGTCTACATTGAACTAACGAAATTAAACAACGCTGTTGAAGAGAAGTGGCCCGAATTGACCAATCGAGAAGGTGTGGTTTTCCATCATGATGCAAGGCCACACACATCTTTGGCCGCTCGGCAAAAATTATTGGAGCTTGGTTGGGACGTTTTGCACCCGAAATACATTTTTGCACCGAAACATTGAGCTCCTCCATTTAGCCACACACATTTTTGCTCCCTTCTGCGCAATTTTGATATTTTTTTGAAGCTCTTGCATTTTTGGAGTGCTACGTGAAGCCTCGCCCACTATTTGAGCCCCATGCGCTCCGTGGAAACCCCGCACACCACTGAAAAATGGTGGGAAGGCAGTCTAGTGTTCTAGCTTGCATTTCAGTGTCTAGTTTGTCACTCGAAACAATGCCTGAATTTTTGCTCTGGGAAATTGAAGATACTCTGGGCTACTCGAAACGCCATCCTGCAGGATTTCCATCATTCTTCAGGAGTGGGCGGGACCTCTTTAGAGTGGTCGAGCCTTCACATCGTGGGCGAGGTTAAACGTGGCAGTCCGACGTGGAAGAATTTTGAAGAAATACCAAAACCGCGAAAAGAAGGAAAAGTTGGCGTGTCCAAAAGCGGAGCCTAATGTGTCAGTGCATGAATGTGTGTTTCTGCGTACCTCTGTTGTGTGAAGCGTGGATGTGAAACTAACGAAGCTTGAAAAAACTTATAAACATTCAAAATTTGCAGCAAATTCTTTGAAGGGAGCGAATTTGCCCATGCGTCTATGTACAATCCTTTCCAGCTGATATGCATGCACGAAAGAACCAATTTACAAAAGCACAAATTATAAACTAGAATTTGGAAAATCACAAACACGTCGGAACGGGGAGTGACCGTGGGGACGGCGCCTGACTTGTTACTTTTTGAAAAGTCGTGAATTTCTTTCGGAAAGTTGTGGATTGGTATTAAAAGTCGTGAATTTGGGTTCGAAAAGCAATGAAGTCAGAGTGAAAATGGTGTATATAAGCGGAAGGATCACATCACCTGTGATCTGCTTGTTAGTTAGGGTAGTGTCGTCCTGAAACGTATCGGTGGCGGAAATACAGGTAAAGACAAAACGCATCACCCATGAGGTACATCCTTGGCATGTGCGGGACCAGAGGCCACCAGCTGTAGAAGCGTAGCAGTTTCCACGATGTTTGGAGGACAGGAAACCGCTAACCTTCGAAGCTGAGGACCTATTAGCCCCGCACCTGCCGAAGACGGGTGCACCTCGCAGGTGAGCGTGCATTTGTTTTTACTGAAAGCGTCACGAGCAAAGAGCACTTTTGAATGGTCACCCAATCAAGCACTCCACACATGCATTTCGTGAACGAAACAGTGCATGTTAGCCATAGACAGCCACTCACATCAGTGTGCCGCGCGTACGGTTGGCAATCCGGCCTCATTTTCCCAGTCGTCTCCTGGGGACAGCAGGCTGGAGGAAACATATGCCGCCCGTTCGTTAGACGGAACCATCCAGATTCATTAAATTCTCCTTCTTTTGAATCCACTCCGCAGCAAAACTTCTGGAAAAGGAAGAAGTTTGGTCACATGGGGAACGTGCTCAGAAATGATACAGTACGCCATGTACGGGTATTTATGATCATCAGTGCCTGACCTCATGCATTAGTTTGTCCCACGCCGCTTTCACGAGCATACCGTCAACGTTTCTTTTGTCAGAACTATCAGTGCCATTATACATCCGTAAGGAAGCTCTGAGGATCTCTCGGAAGTCGTTTTCAAACTGAATTTATTTTTCCAAAGTACATCATCGAACATTCAACCTGGAAAAATTTTGAGAAAGCGTCCAGACAAAAACTGACCATATGACTGTGCATAGCAGTATAGATTGCAGCAGCAATCTCAGTCGCCAGAATAATCATAAGACAAGTGGCGTACTGAAAAGAATACGGTCGTTGCTCGGCGTGCATGGTACACTTGTAGAATGATCTCATAGGTTTTACAATGACCGTGAGAAACTCTTCTTGAAAAAAACAAGCCGCAGGTAAACCTAATACATTTGTAGAGGAATATAAGATCTTCAGGAAATAAATTCTCAAGAAACTCGAGGACTCGAATGCACTTCCTTTAGAAGCTCAGGACTGGAAGAGTGGGAGCTCTAGTGGATTCTGAAGAGCTTCTATTTCGTATCCACTTGATTGCACAATCATGATACCGCGAGGTTACGCCTGCAGTATCGTCTTGAGTGGTGCTTATCTTAAGAGATGCTCTAGGTAATAAAGTTGAACTACCGTCTTATCATTCATTCTTATATGTTAGTCCTATAATATACATCAATTCAATGGTTGTGAATCCACAACACAGGGGCGGGGGCGAGAGCGGTAGCTCAGTACAATCCTCAATAGTTTGACGATGGATAATAGATCATCATGACAAATTCAAATCCCATGTCACAATGTCTGCGAGGTACACAGTAATAATCACGGGATAAATAAATTATTGCATTTAAAGTACACAGGCTCTAATTCACCGAAGAGAAGAGATTTTATGTAAACTTGTTCTTCATCGGCGATTTATTGTAGGGTGAGACGCATCAGTCGATTCGCTCCTTGCTCGTTTGGCACGTTGACTTGTATAGTTGCTGCCAGAATAGTTGTGTTAGTTGTTGCTCGTGCGGCACTTTGTTACCGTTCGATACGATTGGTCTGTTGTAGCTGCACGTTGACGGAAGACTTTTCAGAGATCACTCCGAATTGTTTCCTGGTAGTATTCGTCTGTTTCGCTCTTTTTGACGTTTCCTTCGCAATGGTGACTCTTCCTCTTCATAGGGCGAGGATTGGCACACAGGTCCGAAATAAGTTTTGAGATTGTCCTTCTTTTCAACTTTTCCGCGATTCCACACTCGGCACAGCAACGAAGTGAGAGCTACAAACAAGTCCGTTCTCTGCTTTCTTTCTTCTGATCTTGCTTGTGCCAGAAATCGTATGGCCGAATATTGCTGGAGTTATTGTTGGAGTCCCTATGGAAGGATCATCGCTAGACTGTCGTAGCAGATGACTTGGTGAAGAAGATCCTGTCCTATTATGAGATCAGGAGTGACTTTAGACGATTTTGGCTATGCTGAGCGATGCAGCTTCTGCTTTTTGATGATCCTTATCCGAGTGTGACAGCTCAGATGTACATGCTGACGTGCCTAGCTTTTGCTTAGATTAATTCTGTTTTATCAACTTTCTGGTGCTGTGAAGACTTTTAAGTGTCACTCCTACTTCGTCCAAAACGAAAGCCTCTCGTAGTTCTCCCATTAAAAAACATTTACAACAATGACTTAGTTTGGTTAATCAGAAGTTGAAAAAAAGAAAAAGGCGGACTCCACATGCGACGACGGCAAAGTGGCCTTTATTTAAAGAAAAGAAGCAGAAACAAAGATGAAGGAGAAAAAAGAAATTTCCACTTAGGTGTCATTGACGAAACAGGTGATGTATTTTGAAAAAGGCAAATTCTAGCAAAAAGAAGCGAGGATAGTGAATGTGTCGAAGAGGTTTAGACCGAAACAATCTCACAGTACAAAACACCCTCACAATACATTACGGAACTTTGAAAGGTACCCAACACCTACTTTCCTTGTCGACTTAAAAAATATGTCGCATTTTAAGGGAAAAAAAATCTGTGCCTCAATAAAAACATTGAAATTGAAATTAATAATTAATGGACTCATTGAGGCGCTGAAGAGCTCAAGCTCATTGAAGTATCGCGAGAGTACAAGATGCCGCTGTGTCTCACGTTTATCGACTTGAAGAAAGCCTCCGACTCCGTTGAGACAGAAGCGGTTATCGAAGCTCTGGGAAACCAGGGTATTCCTACTCAGTACATCAGGATTCTTCGTGAGCTTCTACAGCAACTTCACGACCAAGATTTCACCATTCTACAAGGAGATCATCATTGATGTGAAGAGAGGGGTCTGACAGGGCGACACCATCTCGCCCAAGCTCTTCAGCGCCTCTCTCGAGAACGTCATGCGTCAACTGGAATGGGAAGACATGGGAGTGAAGATCGACGGTCGGCAACTACACCATCTCCGCTTTGCTGACGACATCGTTTTGATAACGCCAAACATCGAGCAAGCGGAACGTATGCTGGCTGATTTCGACTGCGCGTGTGGAAAAATCGCTCTACGGCTGAACCTAACGAAGACGATATTTATGAAAAACGGATTGCTTTCTGATGCCCCATCCACGCTCAACGGAACGACCATCTCCGAATGCTCTAGCTATGTGTACCTAGGTCGTGAAATCAATATGATGAATGACCTAGCTCCAGAGCTGAGCAGGAGGAAACGAGCGGCTTGGGAAGCCTTCAAGAACATCGAGGGAGTAGCGAAGAAGACGAAGAACACCAAGCTACGTGCCCACCTCTTCGATTCCGCGATCCTTCCTGCCTTGACGTACGCCTCAGAGACTTGGACTCTACGAAAGCAGGATGAGCATGAGGTCGGTGTTACTCAACGCGCCATCGAAAGGGCGATGCTCGGAGTTTCCCGCTATACGCAAGTGTGAGAGTGGGAATCCGGAGCTCTGCACTCCGCCAACGATCGAAGATCAGAGACGCTGCCGCATTTGCCAAGGTTTCGAAGATCAGGTGGGTCGGACACGTCATGCGTTTCGAGGACGACCGCTGGACCAGAGCAATCACCGACTGGATTCCACGGGATGTCAAGCGAACGCCTGGAAGACCGCCTACGCGATGGTCAGATTTCTTCGTGAAAGCTCTGAAATGTATGAAGTTCATGATGTCCCTCGAGCTGAGAGAGTCCATTGGGCAACTCTTGCACGTTGCAGGGACGAATGGAGACGTTACTGGGGCCCGCTCGAGGAACTCGATGATCAACGGGAGCACAGGTGATACAGGTGAATTAAAGGACTATGTTGTAAAATCTAATAAATGAGAATCATTGAGGGGGGGGGGGAATCGAAAGAAAGAGACAGCTCAGCTTTCGTTTCGCACGTGCCCTTAGACGGAAGCCGAGCAAAATCATATTCCTCCTTCCGTGCGTAAGGAAGGAAGAAAAAATCAGTTGCAGAAAGTTTATAAGGAACAAAGTTGAAAACGATAAAGATTGAGAACTTCAAGAATGCTCATTAATTGGATCACGTGAGTAAGTCATCTTAATTACGAAGAGCAGACTACCAGTTGGTGTTACGTAATAACTATCCGAAAATACTACACGACACATGCACGTAAAAAAATTGAGTTACATAGACACCTATTTAAATGGAAAAGCCACTGAGAATATCTCGAACTAATTTGCTTATGCTACCGTAATCATTCGTAATCGTGCATTTGTAACATATAAATTTATTTCTGTGAATACTCTTTACTATACTAGCTATAATGAAATCCTCACTGTAACCACTGCTATGAAACATTCTTACCATTTCCGATAGCCTTGTTATAACGTATCAAAACAAGTACAGGTATTGGCTATCATAAGGGTTTCTGTGTATATAATGGAAGCGTTGCTAGTTGAGATGTTCGAATCACTGTGAGGGAATCTAATAACTTTGAAGTTAAAGTCATCTGTTTTATTATTATATAAACCAGTAGTAATTTTGCCGTTTACTATATTGATTGTTAACTCTAAATAATTACTATGTAGCTCAGTTGTGTGAGTCTTCATGGTGTTTTTATGGACTTCAGCGAGTTGTTCATCGACTTCACTTCCAGACTTATGTACGACTAGGAGATCATCCATATATCTATATGGAATGAGCAATTTACTCGCATTGAATCTATTGCACTTCGCATAATTATATTCCATGATTGACAGCGTAAGATCTGCCAACAGCGGGCTGAAGTTGCCTCCTTGTGAAATACCTTTAGCTGATTGAATACCTTGCCAGCAAAAATACAAAAACTGTTACGCAATAAATAATCGATAAGATATATTAAGTCGTCAGCTTTTTAGTATCTGTAGCTGCTTTTATTTGTTTCACCGTCTGTGTAAAAAAACGTGGTAACCATTACTAGCAATGAACGCCTTATTGGCATTTTCGAAGCAGATGCTCATAAGCTGTTGCATATTCCTGATAATGAGATTATGTTCCAAGCTCGTAAACATGTCAGTGAAATCGGCAGTATGTATTTTGACATTGTCGCAGACAATATTACTTAGCTGCTGACTTGTGTTGATGTTGCCTACCGACTAGTAAGTCTCAATCGTTCTGTTTCGGTTTTGCATCGTTTTTGCATAGTTTACGAAATGGTTTTTCAAAAGGTTTGAAAATAACATGCTTCTGCTAAGGGTGATGCTACTGCTATTTGCGCCAGTGATATATCTGAACTTGACTGGATCTTTATGCAGTTTAGGCAGAGCATATATAGTTGGTGGATCTGAATCAATTTCTATATTGAGGTTGGTTCTTACACAAAAGAACTTGTGCTCCAGTATCATCGGGTATTTGTTACCCGACCTCACAAATTGATACGTGTCGTTACTGCCTCCATATACGAATGTGCTATTAGCATCGTCATAGCTTATTCCCATTTCTTTCATCAAATTCCTTAAGTAAAATTTTTTAAATGTGATTCCGTAGTTGTTACTAGCTTTGTCTAGAGGACAAAAAATATAGTTGTCCTGATATTGTTTGATCAAGTCGTAAGGTACTTGCTCTCCTATACTAATGATATTATTCTTAGTGAGCAGCGGTTTGACTTCACTATGGTAACAAGAACGTAGATGCTGTTGCAGAAGGTTAACTTTGTGACTGTTAGGTTTATAATTGTACTCAAAGTAATTGACAACTTTATTAACTGTGGCCTCATGAATCCTTTCCTTGTTATTCCTTTGTCTATCCTATATTTCGTCCCTTTCATCATAAGTTGCTTGAGCTTTCTTTCCTTCAATAGTTTCATATTGCCTGTAATGATGTGCCCATGCTTGCTGTCAATATATTTCTGCCCATCTTCTGAATTACAGATACAGTCACTAGTGATTACCCGCTTCAATTTTTCGTTGTCGAGATTATTTAATACTTTGTTATAATTGCATATTCTGGTCGCCATTGTGTTATTGTACTTATAAATTATTCTAGTAGGTGTGAAGTCACAATCATTCCCATTAAGCAATATTTCTTTGACAGTACGTGAAAAACCCTGCTGAAGTGTATCTCAACAAATATCCTGCTTCTGAAGCTGACTTCAATGTTATGAAAATTCTTTGTGGGTTTTTCTTCGATGACTGAACCATGGTGAAAGTAAGCCAACGAGCAAAATATCAAATATTTTGTTTTACTATTGACCGTCTGTAGAAAATCCACAGACATAGAGAGTTTAATGATCTTGTTGTTTTCTTCCTTACAAAGGTTTTTAAGTAGTCTGGTATTGTGTAAGGCTGAGTGTTTCTGTACTGCTAGCTTTTCTTCTATGACGCTATTATATGTCATTCCTTTCTTATTTCTACTGAATCTCTTTCCTCCATTAATTCTTTGCTTCGTAATCTTTAGCTAAAAGAACGGATGATTGCCTTTGTAGAGGAGAGGGTTTTCCACATTTGTGATATTTCTATAACTTTAATGTTATCATTCAAACCAAAATAATATGATGTCATAAGTTGTTTTATAAAAATAAGCCGTACTAGGAAACGAAAAACTCTTTAGGGTCGTCAGGTTCTAAACTAAATGTTGTTTGGGTTGGAAAGCGCATAATCATGCTTCATTGGGAAATGAAAAAGGCACTGTTGTTGGCAAGATAGACGAAAACTGAGTCCTGTTAAGGAAAGGGTAGAACCGAGCCGAAACAGATAAGGTAGACACGAGAAGTGAAAAGACTTCATTTTAATGGGTAGTATGCGACTTAGAATCACTAAACTCACCAACGTGGCAATTATGCGTCCAGCAGTTGATCAGTGAAACACCACCGTAATCCTAAATTCGCACGCGGAGGTTTGGCAGTTTGTGCAGAGCTTCGCTTGTTGTTTTCTTTCTAGTGCTGGATGACACTCAGCGCACAAAAAACCACGCGGCACTGAGTTTTACGCGGAAAAACCATGTGCGAAGCCCGCAAGGTACCCTTTTACCAGTAGGTCCGTGAAACTGATTTGTGTTGTTTCCGTATTACCTATTTGAGGTGCAAGGAATGTGCGGGCCTCGAAGCATTCAAATGGACGAAAAATGGAAAGTTTCAAGATTTCTGAGGGAATTTAGGCGAAAAGTCTTTGCTCGATGGATCCGTGCCCAGCGCTATTGGGATCATGTTGGGGTATTATGCTTCCACAGGTTGGCTCAATTCCAGGGGACAAAATCTCAGCACTATTCAAACCTTTCAATTCATGGTTGCTGTACAGTGTCCCCGAAGGTGTCAGAGATTGCAGGTGTACACACTCGAAATCCCTGAGATGTGGTAGGCGTAGCTGCGTACTTTCACCGAACATAGCGCTGGCTGTGTTTTGATAAAATAATTTGGTTCTGGCACAGTTGTAATCCTGCCCTTGCCCAACACCGAACAAGATACCAGTTCAGTTGTCTCAGATTGAAATATCCCACGAGTTCTCTCAAATCCATTCTAGGTCATGTTCAATTGCCATGTCTACTCCTTATCAGGGGGAGAGAGTGCAAGGGAATCTTGCAGGGCTAGGATCTTGAAATTCTTCCATGTATGACGCACCTTTTGCACCCACCCTATGCTTGAACTCCTGCACAAGTACCATGCGGAAGTCGAGGGAACACATGCAGCAATCTACTGGCTCTTTTGTTGCGTTGAGGACTAATTCCTCCTCTGAAACAATGACGCGTATCAAAAGATGGGCTATTATTACAAGAAAATATTGATTCTGCACCTCTCGACGGGGTCGAAAAGTAGCAGGATCTATAAAGGAATTCAGAGCGAAACCAAACCAGCTGCTCTCAATTTGACCACCTGCCCTTCATATATGGAACCGCACCTTCCCTGAATCACCTGGTACGCGCGAATCGTAGGTCTTGAAGGAGAAGAACGCAATCAAAAAAAAGCGAAACGTGCTGCTTGAAGGTATTGCCCGTCGGAATCTGGCTTGCTAATTTCATACCGAATGCTTATTCTATTTTAATTGGAGAGCTTCACCAGATACCGCAACATCTTGCAAAAAATAGTTCCCAATCTACAACCGCTGAGGTTATGAATGCGCCAAGCCGCATGTGTTGATCTCACCACTAGCGGGACAGATTTCGGCCGATAAGCATACGTTTGGCACCCCAGTTGTAACGGTGCCTGTAAACAGTTGCCAGGCAGAAAGGCAACTGTTTAAGTTATTCAGAAGCACCACTAGGTACATTGCTGGCGGATGTCAGTCTATGTCTTTTATCCGTATTGCCACGATACTGAATCATGAACTGCTCGAAAAGAAGATGCCTACTCAAGCACCAGCACTGCACAACCACGACACGCTAATATAGATTCGCAGAGCTGTCGCACGAATCATATGCCCATGAAATTCTGTTTTTTAGGTGACTGTTCGTCCGACTAATAACTAATAGACACTGAACTGCCTAGACGCTTAAAGTTTCTTGATCTCCAGTTACGCTTCTTTCTTCTATTCTTGCATCTCTTTCATTTCACCACGTGGGTGTTGTTGCCAAACCAGCAGCGCCACCAGTGACACTAGCGACATTCGCTTTGCTCTTACTACCGCAGTATATTGACACCACCAAACCAACAAATAAGATCTGATTCAAGAGATTTAAGGGAATCAGAGAATTCCAGGCAAATGAAGATTTCGATTAGTTCAACTGGGGAAATGTGAGGAACTGATAGGTTGGTGAAACGATACCACTAAAAAGGCGGCCACACTATGATGATTTCTGCCGTCACCTTCGCGTGTTCTCCGTCACACATGTTTTCCTGTGAGACTTCCCTGTTCGACAGTTGTTTTCTCTCCTTCCATGTTCCGCTTTCACTCTTTTCCTTTTTTCCTGTGAACTTAGACGTCCGCCTTGTTTCTTTCCAACTTATAACGCGTTTCTGGACTCCTTTTCTTTCTACTGGCTAATACCGGAGGCAATCCTCTTGAATCGTTCCCCATTGATGCTTCGATGTATGCAGCACGCACGAAGTTCACTCCCTCGTTATAGACATGAGGAGCTGACTTAAGCTTATGTCGGCACTACGCCAACGAGTATACATCCCATCCACAATTTGTGTTCCTACTAGAGCTTTAAGCGGAATATGCTGACCGTGGACCCTGCGTCTACAAGAGCCGTCCCTCGTTTTCTGAAAAGCCTCACGGGGATCATCGTTTGTCACCCAGCAAGAATGCTATTTACAGCTCACAACTCTCACATCGACAAAGAAGGAAATCAGAAAAACAAAATGACTCTTCTTCGTGCAGCGTGATAATATAATGCTGCACGCCAACCATAATAAAAAGAGCAGTTTTCGGGACATTCAAATGTTCGGAAAAGAAGCCCACCTGCTAGTAAATACGGGTTGAATGCGAGAACTGTATTAGGCAATTGATCGCTTCAGCTGGATTAGGTGGCTTTCCTTCATGCCAGTCGGAGGCCTTGCAAGGTCACAAGCAGTATTATGTACGCGAAGGGGAGAGTATTCTGCACCAGCAGACACGTGAACGCGTCCGCGCTTCTGTTTTCAACAAATCTTGTGTCTTGCTATCAATACGAAGACTAAAGTTTGCGGTATTGACCCATTAGTTTATGCACGCTCCACTTCCATTCAATAGTGGTGACATTACCGTGGGTCCATTCCGTGACTTGTAGGGCCAGCTGAGGTACAAGCCATTTTTGTGTCTTACCATACGGATGTGCTACTAAGTTACGTCCCCCATGAGCACATGGCCTGGTTGGCCGGGACGGATCTGAACCTTAGCAGACGCTCGATAAGCGCATCGTCGCAACACAACCTCGTCTTGGCTTACTATCTCAAGTGAACTGCTTCTGCAATTCGTTTTGGAATATTTAGGGAAGCTGAAGACCTACCTATCGGTTGAAATTTTAACCACTTACACAACAGAGAAGAGGCCGCCATTCCTTTGCAGCTCCACAGCAGCCCAGAAAAGCGACAGTTATCACGAGCAGTCCGCCAAACAGCAAGAGGTAGCCAATTTGCCGAACTGCCGTCGGCTTTGTGGCCTAAAGTGAATTCGTGAACATGCTTAATTAGAGATGTGAACATATATGCATAGAAGTTTCCCTCCAATCAGTCTTGTATTGAAGAGACAAGCGGGCAAATTAAAAATGCACACATGTCCGAAAACAACTTTCCATAATATATGCAAATGTTTGCAAATGTATTTGCAGAAAGTTTCGTATTTGTTGCTAACTCACCAGATCACGCAGAGCCTCCTCCTGTTCATACCCCTGTATTTGTGCCGTGGCTAGAGCCAAGTTATCGATGGCGTATTTATCCAAAACGAGCCATGTACCTATGCCAACACAGACGACACCACAGAGCTGAAATGTGCGAATGAGCTGCAACACGGGCGCTCTTTAATGATGCTGCTATATGCATCAAGAATTTTTTTACAATGTGCATTTGCAAATGAGGCAAGCAGGCTCCGTGGAGATCATCCACAAGGGTAAAAATAGGATTGATGTGACCGCTTGAAGTGAACTGTATGCTCACACTTTCAAGTGAGCATACTACCGCTTCGCACATGTTCGTGAGGAAGGGTCCCCGCTGCGTGCTTGCGGCTCAGCAATTGTGTAGTCAGTTCCGTGTCAGGAGGGCTGGGAGTTCGGGCCCTAAATGAGCTCGTCCCTTTGTGTTTTCTACAATGTTCTCTATGCATTTGAAGGAGCCATTCACCTGATCTGTGCATTACAGATTGGTGTTTTTCAAAAAAAATGGAGTGGACATTTCCGCCATCTCATTTCCTTTTTTGCTTTTATGTACAATTAGTCTAGAAATCTGTCACGAAGGTGGTCTAATTAGTCCAGAAAACATTCTATCGCAGTTTCGAATGGTAATGTTGCATTTCCTCTCCGTAAGGGACACTGAGGGTGGTTGTTGTCGTAACGAGGCGAAGGTAGTGCAGTTTCCGTACCTGACGCGTCAAGCATTTTCCTTCCGAGTGAGTGTGGTGCTCGTGTCCGAGTCAAGATCCTGACTACAACAACAAAGTGGGATACTAATGAGCATACTGCCCTCCAGACTCATTCCCACTTTTGGATTTTTTCAGGCCTATCTTAAACCTCAAAAAAAACCCGTGGAACCTTGTACATGAGGGAGAACGGGGAGTCATTTGGTGTCTTGATCGAGAATATTACTTCTGCGTCAAAGAACAATGTCCCATTAAAGGCAGTTAGCACGATAAATCGCTGTACAGGCGTAGGATTTGTACAACTGGCTTAACAGAAATCCGTGACCTCGGACAGGCGCTGCGTGGAGCCTTTTCCAAGGAGGGCACCCCTATAACGCCCAATTGAGCAAAAATTTACTCCCCAAACCGCCTCCTTGCGCACCGCCCACAAACGGACGACCGTTTCCGACGCTCGTATTCATTCATTTGCTGAGCAAATCATGAAGCGAAGGGATAGGTATGAAGCAGCCGTGATGCTGCATGGATATATGGGTACACATATGCAGCCGTATCTTCGGTAGCGGTGATTGGCAAGATGCTACGGAAAACTCGTCCGAAATCGATTTACAAGTCACTGAGAACGGAGGCTTTCTCTTCGCCGGATTTTAAACGTTTCACTCCGTTTTTTCACCATTTCCCCACTATACAGCGCCCAACTAGCATTTTAGGCTAAGTCGGAAACCCATCGTGCCAGCTGCCTTTAATCGCTGTATAACTCCAATGTTTTACTTTTGTACGGCTAGGGCAGAATGTTTGGGGTGCCAGAGAGTCAAGTGACAGTGTAAAAATGAGTTTCACATCCGTGGTCAGGGCCCCGTTAGCAACTCCAAGAAAAAATTCTTGTTCATACAGGGGTGCTGCCGAATACAGCAGCAGCCAGACGGAAATTTGAGTGCTCATGGATGCCTCACGTGTTTCAACGTAGTAACGGACACTCGTTCAAACCAAAATATCGTTTTGGGTAGAAATTCGTCTCTTTCGCGGCTTTGATCTCGACATCTGCGACTACGACGAATGATCTACGATAATCGATGCAACCGGTCTATAAAAGGCCGCCTGACCCACGATGCAGCATTCCATTTTTCGATATTTGTAGTGTAGATTGTTTCCTTACATTGAGAAGTTTCTTGTTTAATTACCCAAGTTTGAGGTCGATAAAGTTTGTAACGCCGTTGCTCTCACAACCCAACATTCAAGTCCCGCGTGGCAAGATCTCATCACCGTCTCCTGGGGCACTTCAATGTTTTGTTTCACGAACACCACACCCGCTCGGAATGGAATATCCTGTCGCGTGCGCTATGGACCATGAAATACTCCGACCACCTTACGGTAGCAACCGCTCTCAATCTCAACTATTCCTCGCGCACTGGGAGTGAAACGTTGCAATTGTAGTTAGATTCCTTCTGGGCAGAACAGGTCACTTTTGTGACAGCTTTTCACAGTATGGTGGAAGATGGAAGCAGGATTTTCAATCACGGTCCAGGAACGCATCAGCCATTATTTGATTTACCATCCTTCTTCCCTTGTCAGAGAATGATTATGTATGTAAGTCAATCTCTACAGCATTCATTCATCTACGGTATTTATTGCGCTCATATGCAATCTGCGATTGCACTAGTTGATTCGGAAAAAGCGAAGGGAACGTGCCAAACGCCCCAAATAATGCCCCTCACTCCAAACGGGAAGGGAAAAATTGATGATAAATTCTAGGCAGAGAGACTAGACAAGAGGAGCTACGGAGCATACAAACAAATAAGATGCGCGTTAACGCCCCTAGATTATAAATGCCTGACGTAAAACTTGTAGGAAGATGATCGACACTACTTTTCGAGCGAAGACCCTTGACTTTTAGAAGTAGCTGCGACACTAGCTTTCCGAACAAAGACCTTTGACAATCAGAAGTAGCTGCGAAACGTGCCTTCAAGCTCATATTCTTCCTCTAAGTGTACTATGTCACGTATGATTACTTGAAGGAAGACAGCATCGCGAAGAACGCTGTTCTCCGAGATTCATTAGCTGGAGTAAAAGGGAATTAAGAACGACGCCAAGACACATTTCGCGAAAAGCCGTTGGAAGTTTCATAGGTATCGGGGAGTATAGTGTAGTGAGTCCGTTCCTCCTCGTGTGACGCTGGAGACTGCCCAGTAGTGATAGTGGTGATCAGCAAAACGCGGACGCCAGCGTCAGACCCGAGCGGCAGGTCGGCTGTCACTGTCGAAGTCGTAACTATAGCTCGAGGCGTCGTTTCATGAACAATGCTAGGGCGCACCCCAAAGGCGACGCTCGGTGGTTTCGTCTGTATACTGTGACAACTGGTCACTGGCTACCGATTCAAGGGCGGAGCTTGCTAAAGGAGGTAGCACATATAGCCCAGGCGCGAGTGGAACCGCGACGCATTGTCGCGTTGATCAAAGGCACTTTGAGAGGGTGCAGGAGCGAGCTCGCGGAAATGCTGAAACGAAAAAAGTAGACGTTGCATGGAGACAGGATGAAAAGCACAAAAATTGCGCGATATTTAAGAAGGCTACTCACTGAGCTGCTATAAAGAAATCAACAGCAAAGGTGTGGCCATGATTGTCAACGATGAACTGCGCAGCCAAATCACAGACATAGGGTGTAATTCGGATAGACTCATTTGTGCCATATGTGAAGTGGCAACATGTGTTTTACATGTATTCTCAGCCTACGCCCCGCAAAGTAGTTGCAACGATGTGAGAAAGGAGCAATTTTGGATAGGATTGCATTGCAGAACTCCCTGAGAGTGATCTGATCGTATAATTACCGATTAATGAAAAATTTATTCATAGTGCTAGCTGTGAAGGGACATATGAAGACAGAGGCAACTTGCAAGCTCACAATCAGACGTAGGGAACGGCAATGACGAAAAATAAGAGTACCTACGACGAAGTCATGAATCAATAAACAAACGAAATAGAGTACACACTCCGACCTTTCTGCACCGTAGTCAATCTGTTAGCCTTGCCTAGAAGTTGCACCTTTCCAAAACCTCTGCCTGGGAATCTGTTGCAATGGCGCAATACAGAGAGAATGTCTATCGTCGCCAAATAAATTATTCCCAAAGATTTTGACGCGAAGACGTGTTCTACAGACTCACTCAGCTTCACATACAAAGTTTTGTGTTGCCCGAAACTTGTCAGAAAAAAATCACAATTCTTTTAAACAATGGGTTTCAGAATAAGGTGCTTTTTAGAAGGCGGAATTCTTCCAAATTTTGGCCCAGTTTTTGGTCCGTTAAGAGGTCACATCTGAAGAGTACTTTGGCTTTCAAAGCAAGTGTAGGTGACACCGAATGCAACAACGGAGCCACAACGGGGGGAAAGTCCGTTACGAAAAAGGAAGGAATTTAGAAGCGCTCAAGCACGGTTGATAGATATCAAACATAGTGCTTCACGAAAACTGCTTTTCTAATTCTCGAGAACTCCACTATCAGAATTTACTGAATATTCTAACAAAGAAGAACTTTGAGTTACTGGCTCATGTCGCAAAATATTAATAGCTGGCCATACACAGTGCTTTGACGCTCGCGGCACAAGCGTCTGAATCGCGGAACGCATATTGAGAATTGCAAGTGACTCTGTTCGATATCATCTATTTTTTTTGCCTTTCCTGTCCCCTCTTTTGGAGGAGAGTGGAGATTGAAGCGAGACTCGCTTTGGAGGGTTGATTGATACGAAATTCAGATCGCATTTCGATGAGCGTGCCCTGAATGGAACATCAAGCTAATGTTTTCGGCGAGAACGCTGCCCCACACAGCGCTACAGTAACCAGCTTCACAGAATCCGTAAAGGCAACCAAAATGCACAGATTCCTGGAGCTCGAATCGCACGTCGCAAAGCCCAGAATCCAGAGCCACTTCCATTGAACATATTAACAAATGGTTCGGTAGGTGGTGTGCTCATATAGACACCAAGTGAAAACAGAACAGTGCTGTCCTAGTACCCATCTTCGCACCTAAATCTCTCACATTGCCAGACACCCTGTGTGTGACCCATTTAACTGGTTATCGCTGAGCCCCGGACCTTTTTTCAAATGTGTAATCACAGAAAGAGTGGAAGAATTTTTGCTTGCAGAGATCAAGTACCACTGACCTGTGAATCTGAGCCATCATTAACTGAAATTTCCAATTCATGAGAACGATGAATTGCAAGCGTTTCTGAACAAGTGCACAAACAGAGATTTAGCGGGGGGGCATTCAAACTGCATTTGGAATTTTCTTCGGCAAATATTCAATGGTGCCGTGGAGCGCGCCCGAATTGGATGATACTTAATTAAGCAAATCTTTGTAATCATCGGTTTTTGTTTCACTCGTAGATAGGCAGCACACCTCCTAATGTTGAGCGAGGTTTCCTCGGCCGAGTTGATGAAAGTTGTGTG